TTGGCGAGTTAACTTATCGTATCATTCTAATTTTTCTTATATTTAAAAATAAAACATACAATTCACCGCGTAACATTTGGTGGTGACTGTGAGATAACAAACTTCATAAGTTTAAGTAAAACAAATTTATAATAATGAATACTGAACAATTTCAACAATTTATGGAAATGATGTCTAAAACGCTCGCCGACAAAGAAGGGAATAAATTGATGACGAAAGAAAATAATCACGTAAAAGTTAAGTGCTTCTATGGCACCGATAACGAAGATCCCGTTGAATGGTTCGACGAGTTCGAACGTGCGGCTGAGGCTAATAATTGGACAAAAGACCGTAGGTTAAAAATTGCGTCCGGTTATTTAAAAGAGATGGCCGCCGATTGGTATAAAGAGAATAAGAATGATATAAAGTCATGGAGAACTGAAAATGAAGGTGATGAAGCTAATAGTCAAAGTTTCTACCATCTGTTTGTGGAATATTTTGCACCCCCGGAACGACAACACCGGTGGCAAATCGAACTACACACCCTTAAACAAAAAGAGCATGAAAGAGTGGATAGTTACGCCACCCAGTTCAAAAGGTTGCTTAGCCGAGTAAACCCGGATAATAACCTCTCAGAAAGTTATGTGGTACGAATGTTCTTAGGTGGGTTAAAGCGTAACAATGCTACTTTCGTAGCTGTAACCGCACCTAAAAACCTAAATGAAGCAATTGCCGCGGCCAGAAGGGTCGAAGCAGGGGATTATTATGGAAATCACACTCCTGAGGGTTCGCAGGCACAACAAAAGATGGGTAATGAGTTAAACGATATCAAAAAAAGGATTGAAGGGCTAGCATTAAACTATGCGTCTCTGACAACTAAAATGAATAATTCGGAAGGAAATAACAATAATCCGCGAAGGAATTTTTTTAAAGAGCAAAGAAAAAGACCCGTATGTTTTAATTGCAATAAGATCGGACATTTCGAAAAGGATTGTCGTTTTAAAAAAACATATATGAGCAAGAAACCACGTTTCAGTACAAAAGAAGGAGATAAGCCCAGAAATATAAATTATTGTGAATTTATTCACAATCAAGAAGATAAGAAAAAAGAGGTATATAACGTTGGCGATGAAATTTCACCTCAAGAAACTTCTAAACGTCCCATGCCAACTAAATGGAATGAAAGATTAAGAAATAAAAACGTAACAAAGATTCAGTCCCCTAAACAAAGACAAGATACGGAAATCGATAATAATCCCACTATTGAAACTTCCAATATAAACAATAAGTCCAAGCGAAAGCGTGGCCCATCAATCGTAGATTCCCTAACCCCATATGATGTCGCAGAAGACCTCCTATCTCTCCCAACTAGCGCTACTCTAGGCCAATTGCTTCAGTATCCAAACCAAAGAAAGAACTTGGCAAAATTATTGAAGCGACCAAGATCATCCGGTGAGACCAATTTCGTAAATCTCGAAGAAAAACGGCGAACGACTGCAGCCCGATGTTATGTAAAAATACAGAACAATTTGATCTTAGCCGTTCTAGATTCAGGTGCAGCCGTAAGCATAATATCAAAAAGGCTGCTTGATAAAATCAGATTAGGTATAAGCGAGGAATCCAATATGATGGTGGTAATGGCAACAGGGACTAAGGCCAGAACACTGGGTAAAGTAAAAGATGTAAAGATAATAGTGAAAGGAGTGGTGGTACCCACTACTTTGCATGTTATAGAGTCCTCTGACGAAACATTATTATTAGGAACCGACTGGTTTCAGAAAACAAGGGCTCGCATTCATTTTGATGAGCAAAAATTATATATACGCTATACTGACAAATCGGTAGAGGTCCCAATTTCAAACACTGGGGTTGAAACCCTGGGTTTTTATCAGGAAGAAGATGATTATGGTAGTGAAGGTGGTGATACTTTCGACGAATTTGATTACGAAGAATCGGACGAAATCGAAGGACAATTTTTGGAATATGAGGAAAATCCGGCACTATACCTCACTAATATTGAATCAGTACCCATAGGGGACGATAAGGAGGAAAAATCTATAGAGGAGAAAATTCAAGAATCTATTAAAAACGATGAATTAACCCCCCAACAACAGTGTACCGTTCAAATGTTTTTATGGAGTAATAAAGATATGTTTGCTCAGGGTCTGGAAGATCTAGGGCAGACTAACCTTATTACCCATACCATAAATACAGCAAACGCCCTCCCGATATGCCAAGGCCCTTATAAAACATCTCATGAACAAAACAAGTTCGTGAGAGAAGAAATCGCCAAGTTAATAAAAAAGGGACTAATCCGTGATGCTTTTAGCCCTTGGGCGTCTCCTGTAGTGGTGGTACCTAAAAAGAATGGGAAATTCCGGTTGTGTATAGACTATAGAAAATTAAATTCTATAACCAAAAAGGATACTTACCCCCTCCCTCACATAAACGAACTACTGGATACCTTCGGAAATGCTGAATGGTTTTCCACCCTGGACCTAATGAGTGGTTACTGGCAAGTGGGGTTACGGGAAGAAGATAAAGAAAAAACCTCTTTCATCACAAAGTTCGGGACGTATGAATTTAATGTAATGCCTTTCGGACTTTGTAACGCCCCGGGAACATTTCAGAGGCTAATGGACAAAGTCCTTCGAGACTACATCGGGGAGTATGTTGTCGTCTATCTAGACGACATTAATATATTTTCGAAGTCTTTAGATGATCATTTAAAACACTTAAAAAGTGTTTTTGATAGGTTACGAGGAGCAGGTTTAAAATTGAATCTGGAAAAATGCAAATTTTTTCGGTCAGAAATTCATTATCTTGGCCACATAATAAACAGGGAAGGTATAAGACCGGATGAAGGTAAAATCGAAAAAGTAAAAAATTTCCCCGTACCAGCCAATCTTCGTCAATTAAGGGGATTCCTGGGGCTGGCATCATACTATCGTCGATTTATTAAAGGATTCGCAAACATAGCTAATCCTTTACATAAATTGTTGGAAAAGGATACCCCATATAAATGGACAGAAAGACAACACGATGCGTTTGAGATTTTAAAGAGACATCTTATGATGGCTCCCATCTTAAGGTATCCGGACTTTAAGGAGATATTCTATCTCCATACGGATGCATCGGGCACAGGGTTAGGAGCCGTACTAGCCCAAAAAGATAAGGACCACAGAGAATACGTGGTAGCATACGCTAGTAGAGGACTTTCAAAAACAGAGCGAAACTATTCGGCTCCAGAACTAGAATGTTTGGCAGTAGTTTGGGCCGTTGAACATTTTCATTATTATTTGGGCGCCAAACATTTCACCCTAATCACCGATCATGCTGCTCTCAAATGGCTACATACGGCGGAGCCGAAAGGAAAAAGGGCCCGATGGATCCTGAGACTACAGCCATACAATTACTCTGTAATACATCGAGCAGGTCGGAAACATTCGAATGTGGATGCTCTATCACGTATGCACCTGCAAACGAAGGAAATGGATACAAGAGAATAATTACTTAAAAAAAAAAAAAAAAAAAAAAAAAAAAAAAAAAAAAAAAAAAAAATGTTGGCTGGTTGGCATAAAAACCCTTGCTGAAAACCCTCAACACACGCGGTAGTGAAAGGCACTATCGGGAGAGTGCTGATGATGCCAACAAGGGTAAGTGGTTGGCACAAAAACCTTTGCCAAAAACCCTCAACACACGCGGTAGTGGAAGGCACTATCGGGAGAGTGTTGTGTACCCTAGAAATATATATATATATATATATATATATATATAAAATAATATATATATACTTATCAAAAAGTTACCCCCAAAAGACTTAATAAAATTTTGTTAAAGTATCCATACAAGACTCAGAAGTCCATTCAAGAAGAAATACAAAGATATATTCAAACTTCGGCGAAACCCCAAATATTTACAGAAATTAAAACCAAACATAAAATCCGACAATAAATTCAATCCAGATCAGGTCGTCGGTGTCCTGACAAATCTAAAGATGGAACCACTTAGATATCAACAATTAAAAACATATTTAACTGATCAAACATTGCCACGCACCTTTAACCAACAACAACGACGGAGCATACAAGCGCAAGGCCAATTCTTTATAGTTAAACAAGGCCTAATTTATAAAAAAGACAAACATCAAGCAAATCGGATATTAAGGGTTATTCAAAAGTATGAAGTCGAGCCAATCTTATACTTAACACACACCCATCCGTTGGGAGGACATTTTGGGACAGACATAATGTTTAACAAAATACGCGATACATACTACTGGCCACAAATGTATGCAGATATAAGGAACTACGTCCGCACATGTGATGCCTGCCAACGAAGGGGTAAAAATTTAGTAAAATCCCCGTTACACCCAATTCCAGTAGAAGCCCCATTCTATAAAATCGGAATTGACATAGTAGGACCATTACCAACTACCCCAAGAGGTCATCGTTATATTGTAGTCGCTACTGACTACATGACAAAATGGCCCGAGGCTCGTGCAATCAAGCAGGCGAACGCTCAAGAGGTAGCCAATTTTCTATACGAAGACATAGTATGCCGGCACGGATGTCCTCAGTATCTGTTATCTGATAGAGGAACCCATTTTCGAAACAGCTTAATGGATGAATTTCTTAAGAAATTCACCATTAAACATCACTACTCAACACCCTACCATCCCCAGACAAATGGTTTGGTAGAACGTTTTAATAAAACGCTTTGTGAGTCTATCGCCAAACTAATAACAAATGTGCGGGAATGGGATTCATTAATACCCTCGGTCCTTTTCGCTTACCGTACAGCTAGACAAGATACCACCAAAATGACACCCTTCTACCTTGTCTACGGAAGGGAAGCACGGCTCCCAATTCATCCTAGTGAAAGCGAAGAAGTACTTGAAGGAACGTTTTTACAAAGACTTTTTGAATTAATCGACGTTCTGCCCGAATCGAGGGCCACCGCAGTCAGAAGGATTGAGCGAGCACAAGAAACTGCCAAGGAAAGACATGATCGTCAGATTAAACCCGTGGATGATCTAAAAAAGGGAGATTTCGTGTTAGTCTACAAGGCATCTCAAGAAAACTCAAAAAGCCATAAACTGAACCCAAAATGGAAAGGACCTTTTATTATCCATAAGAACCAGGGCAAGGGTGTTTATAAACTTCGCACCACTGAAGGAAATATTATTAAAACCCCCATAAACCGGAAGTTCTTAAAGAAATACCGAAGTGACCAAGTTATGTACGACCGTTTTATAGTGTCCTAATAAAAAAGGATCACTAAACCCCTAATAAAAGAAATTTGCGAGAGTATCCAAAGATAACTTGTAAATTACAAACTTTATGCGTGGAACGCCTAAATTAAGCGTGGGCGAATGTCACGGGGTAAAAGTGACATTTCCGAAATCACAGTGAAAATCACCCAACATTCCAAACCGGAGCGCCGATCAT